GTTTTTTTTTTTTTTTTTAATGGTATCGTGAAATAGAAGGATTTTTGATTTTATTCAATGTGGTCGCGTTTTTGGAAAGGGAGGTTATGAGTGTAATTATGTAAATACTCTTGAGATTTGTTATTTAAATTTCGTAATGTGGTAAACTTTTTCTTCCTTTTAGGGTGATATTAAGGTAAGAAGTAACAGTGATAAAGAGAAAATTATGATGATGGTTATTATCATTTTTAAAATTTTCAAAATATCCATTATTATTCGTAGTCGTACTTGTTGATTAATAAGAAAGAAGTATTCAAGTGAATAACAATTGTCTTCTTCTCTACACCTTGAGCGTTTTTAGGTTTAAGGGTCTCGCTGTGAAAGGAATAACGATGCTACTCCAATTTTCTTATGCATTCCTCTAGCATGCTTCTCTCCTTTCTTTCTTCTTTCTTTCCCCGTGTACGTACTTATTACATACGCGCGTCCTTCACTCTTTTACGTATATTACTTGCACACTTTTAATTATGATACCGCAAAAATATACAAAAGTCATTTAGGAATTTATAAATATTGTATTAATAATTGATTTATTTGTACAATCTTGTAATTCGCAGAGGAGAGAATAAGGAAGATTTTTTTTTTAAAAATTGAAATTCTAATAATACATGTGAATTTGATTATGTGAATATGGAGTGGAGGTATTATTATAACTTGTCGAGTCATTAATATTATGGAACCGATAACAAGAAGGCTCTCGAAACGATAAATTTCCAAAAGAAAATCGAATAATCCCCGTCCCAAATTCCTTTCCAATTCCCAATCTACACATATTTTCTTGCTAGTTGCAATGCAAATATCCTATTAAATAATGAATTATCACAGTTGAATACAAAATCGATTAGAAATTCATTAAATCAGAAATTATTTAGCCCAACTTTCTCGTTCCATCGTTAAAGCTGCATATTCGCTTGCATACATCCATAATACGCGTTCAAAATCAGCATAATCAATTCTATACAAGATCGTTCATTAAATATTACCATCTCGTTTTATGCCATTGTTATTATTGATAAACAAAAAAAGAATTCAAATATAATTAAATTATACAAACACTCTTCCCTTTGTCTTTTATTTTATGGTAAATTTTACAAGTCTCAAGTTAAGATATATCCTAAACTAATTATTTTTAAACATAGATAAATAGTTACATCTTTTTACAAAGAATATCACAATGTGTCAATTGAATTGCATTTAAAAAATATATAATTCCACACAAAATATTAATGATTTTAAAAAGAAAATTACATCAGAATATACGTTCATTCCTTAAATTCAACATTCTCCATGTAAAAGATTTTTTCATTATTTGTAATAATGAGAACAGAGATGGTAATATCTGGTGAGCCACCCCTTATGTTTCAACGTGTGTTCGGTTCACACGGAAACAATTCGAACTCGTTCTATGATGTTCGACTTCCACCAAATCTATCCCCAGATCCTTTCCCAACAAAAGAGACGAATTATTGGCCGAACGTGGAGATTTTCTCTGAACTTGCCGGTTCGGTGCACGGTATACGTCACCGGAAATACAAATACGAGAAAGGTCAGAGCGGGATAGGAATAAAGTGGTTGGCGAAACGAACCAATCTCGAAAACGCTTCTTCACTTGCACACAATGTATCGATTGTGCGCAGCCAAGCAATGCCACCGATTGTCGACGATTTTTCCAATTTTTTTCCCCCTTTTTCCTTTTTATTTTTTTATTTTTATTTTTTTCTTTTTCCATTTAGATAGATAGGTACGTTTTATTGTGTGTGTGTTTTTTATTGATACGAGTATAGAATTTGGAATGAGAGTGGTAAAAGTGGCCTTTAAATCTAGAAGTTTTGGATACATGATTTGATTTGATAAATTATTTTCTATGAGATTTTTAAAAAGTTTTAATATAAAGGATAGAGGATTTAATGATCAGTTCTGCCCAGTTCTTCAGAATTTTTTTTGAGATTCATTGATAATGAAGTTTGACTTTTGAAAACTTTTAAAGATTTGAGTATTGAGATTTAAGTACATAAAAATCAGTCTACAATATATCATCACATAACAAGCAATATAAATATAGCATTGTAATAAATTAATTTAATAGTGAAAATATTATTATAAATTTTTGTAATTTTATAAAAGAAAATAAACATTTTTCAAAAATATCTTGTCAAATTTATGGCAATATTTTCGTGTTTCCATTCGTAATTGTTCAAACATTTTCAAAAGACAACTATTCTCAAGAGTAACATTCTCTTGAGTCTCTTGAAACTGCCATTTTAATTCATCTGTGAATCAGTTATTTACAATAAACTATGTTAAAAATATCATTCTGCAATATAAATTCTAAACAATGGTATCTAAAATATATTCAAAATATGGCCAAAATTTTGTCGTTGCATTTTGCTTGATCTCAGCATAAAGGAAATTCATATAAAAATGTATGCTTGGAAATTCTTTCTTTCAAAAGTACAAACGCATTTTTACAGAGACAAATTTCGACAGACTCAATCTCTATCGAAATATCGATGCAAAAATGTAGATCCCTGCAAAAAAAAATTTAAAATAATTAATTAATAAATCTTTAACAGTGATACGAGGTTAGATTTTCGATATTATTGAATATATTTAATATTCTTAAAAATGGATGCTCTTCCAAAAATTAATCAATCATTAATTGGTAAGATCCTTTCCACCAAACTCATTATTTATTAAATAATAAAAATGATTCCATCTTGTAAAATAATATAACTTATAAAATAATAATCGTAACGGAGATGATTTGGATGAAAAAAAGAAGAAACGGCGAAAATAAAATTATCCTTACAACGAAATGCACGACGAAAAAATTAGAAACGAGTGTGCAAAAGACGATGAGAAAATAGAAAAATTCCCTCTTTCGAATTTGCACGAGGGCAAGGAGCGATCTTATTATGGCAAAAAGTTTTTTTGCGAAGGGGGAAGGAGTGTGCATAACGAGATAATCCTTTCATGGAACAACGTTACAGCGAAAGAAGCGGAGTAACAGAGTAAATTGCACGGTGAAATTCGAAGCTGGCGGTAGGCGGAAGTTGCGTGGGTGAAGTTATAATTGCGTGATGTTGTTGCTTCGAATTAAAAAGGTTCGGACGCGAAAGGTAAACAAATTTAATCTCTGCTCCCTTTCCTCCATTTTTTTTTTCCCCTTCCTCTCTTTTGTGGTGTTCCTCGTAAATTCAATGCTCTCTGATAATAAATACTTCCACGTGAAAATTAACGAAAGACTTTTTTTCTCCCCTTTTGTTCCTTATTTTTTTTTTTCTCCCTTGGAAAAGAATATATTTCAATAATGGTAGATCAAGTGTAATATTATTTAATTGAATTTAAGACGATTTCTTTTTCTTTTTCTTTTTCTTTTCTTTTTTTTTTTTTTTTTTTTTCTTTTTAGAGGATTAGAAAGGGAACTTTACTCGAGGAAATTCCTGTCAAAGAAATTTCCCTTGGGTCTTCCCAGGCAAGGTGGCTTGGAGCAGGGTTAACTTCGTGAAACATTTTATATGCTCTATGCTAGAGTTCGCTTAATAGCTGGATGGTATATTGAATCGAATCGATTGAATTCGTGTTAACTAACGCGATTGTCCCCGTGGTATAGAATTCGAGGCGGATAGGAGATCGGTTTCTCTTGAACTCGATAGAATTTGGTTTTTAAACCGTTACGCGGTACAAATTCACGGTCCAAGGAGCAAACGTTCCTGTAATTGCTTTTCCACTGTCGTGCAAAATTTAAAAACTATATAAAATTGGATTATTGTTTTTTTTTTTTATACGAATATTATTCTTCTTGGAATTTAATTAATTTATTTATTTTTTTTTTTGAGGAGTAAATATTCATTACGTGATATTTGTTATCAGATTATTCGAAAAGTCTTTTCCAAGTCTATTTATTCTAATGTATACGTTTGGTAAAATCAGAAGAAAATGATTGGTATGGAGATAAATCCAATATTATGAAATAAGAAGATAAGGATTTTGTATTAATGTTACAAATAGACTGCATTTGCACAGTTTTCAAGTGTTTTAATCTTGTTTGGAGTCATTTCTCTCTCTTCTCTCCGTTAACAGATTGGAATTCTATAAATTTTACAACGTAATCGCATTTCCTGTTTGAATTAGCTTGATAAAATGCTAATTCAAACATAAATATTTAATTCTCAATAATTTTCCTAGGAAAACTGGATCGAGTTTCATCGATCATCGTTGTTCCATTAATGGAAAAAAATTGTTGAAAGATCGAAAAATTCTCTCTAAAGTTGAATAATCAACAATTTTTTAAATTTCAAAAAAAAAAAGACAATACAAATTTACACGAAACATTCTCTTTACACTTCATTAAGAACTTCCAAATACTTCATGAAATATTCATCTCTCCGTCCCCTCATCCTAATTTCTTTACATGCAAACCAGACTTTCTTAAAACGAGAAGAAAAAGGGAGCTGAAACTAAACGTTGCAGGCGCATCGTTGCGCTCGCGGAAAAATAAGGTCGCAGATAAGCCACGTTGTTTTACAAACAGGAAATGCGATTCCTTCCAATTGCGTGACTCTTCCATATTTTTCTTTTCCTCTCACTCCAAACCCTTCCCCTCTCCTAAGATACAAGAAGATATATTTCGATTATTCCATATTGTCACAAAAATAATTACATAAGAATTACAACTTTCTAAATAATTTATTCAAAATTCTCTTTCTATCTGTGATAAACATCTATAGTGAATATTCATACAATTACAACGAATGAAAAATCAACCAAAGATTGGTCGTCGTAATTGATGGGTGGATAGTGGCGGTGTTTAATGAAGTGGTTAAAAATCGCTGGCAGGAAGTTGGCTAGCATGCAAGCGGCGTTAAAATGGCGCGATATACGATTGTTGACCACCGAACGAAAAGGTGCGAGTTTCTCACGCGATTTCTAACGTTTGATACTTACGATTCGTGTTCCAGGATGGCGCGTACGCGAAGGAAAGCGATATGGATGGGCTGGGACTCTGCCCTTACGATCCAAGGCACAACAGCACTGCGGTATTCGTCGGTGAGTTACAGATTCCAATATATTTTCGTTTATTTATTTTCGGGCGAAATATATCGCGTGAAAACGTTCCCCGCTGCGAAATGTATACGTAGGTGTTCGTTCTTGGAAAAATTTCTTAAACGTATATCGTGTGATAGGTTTAGATAGGCGTTTCTGTTTCTGTGAAATGATAAATACCGATTACTTTACGTGGAATTTATTCAATAAATCGTGCACACTGGAATTAGCACAAGAATTATTTGCACGTGTATTTATTTTTGTTCCAAGAGTTAAATTTTTGTATCAAAATTATTAGTAAACGAGATCAAGTGTACTTGGAGATAACGAATTAGTATGTAAATTTTGTATATATAAATTTTAAGTTGTAAAAGTAGATATGTTAATAGGTATTTTTTCTATGATCTTCTGCATCCTTTTGAATAAATTGAATATTTCTTCGTTATATAAAACTCATAATTTCTTTATTACGAAATTCAGATACATTTGCTAGAAAAATGACACAAAAATTAAGATTTTAATGAAAATTACTCTTCACGAATCTACAGAATTCTATTAATAAAAGCGACAATGATTTTTTCCTATACCAATACCATATTAAAAATGTATAACAACATTATTTATATATACAAAATTTTCATAAAGATATTAAATAAATTCCATACAGAGTCACACTTTTACAGATATAACAATCGTTTTAATCCGTTGAATATTTTAAAAAGAGGCGTATATGCCTTCGAGATTCGAGATTCAAACGGAAAGAAAGTTACCTACTTTCCCGTAAGCTCTTGAAATTCCCAGAAGAGCAAACTCCTTCGAAACGTGGCCCCTTTATGCATAAAAAGGTATTTCCTTATCGTTCTTCGCGATCGCAAAACCGAGCGAAATTATTACGCAAAACGATCGTATCGTCGGCACGGCACCCCTAAAATAGATCGCTCTCCTCTCTCTCTCTCTCTCTCTCTCTCTCTCTCTCTCTCTCTATCCCGATTTGCATATTTATTTTCACGATGATAATATTATTTCTCGTCTCGATTGATCGTTTTGAACGATCTTTAATTATTCATATATCATATCCTCAACTTCTAACTTTACAACATCCTGACTCCATTTTGTAAAGATATATTTCCATTATTGAAAAAAGTTACTAATTTCCGCGTTAAATCGATTCTACTTCGAATTCGTTTAACTCGTTAAACAGTTTGATTCGCAAATAATTAAAGAGTATTAAGAAAATCGGGGAACTCTTTAATCGGTAACGATTTCGGATTACAGAGAGAGTAGGTCGAAAAGAATGTTCCTTTGAGAGAGAGAGAGAGAGAGAGAGAGAGAAAAAGGGAAAAAATGTTTCGATGTTTCACCAGCATCTCAGTTAGTTCCATCAGGGCTCTCTGAGAATACACCGATACGATAGTACAAGGTCTCTCGGATCCCTTGACGAAGTTAACTAGGATGCTGGGGTGGAAACTTTGAAACAGTCTTTCAAAAGGGTACGGGTTTACACCCGTAAACCTCTAACAGTTTTAACTACAAGAGCCTTAAGGATCTAATTTGTAGAAAATTCAATTCCGCCGGATCGGATATACTCTCTCAAATCGAGCTACTTTCTCGTGCTTGCAATTAATGGATTTAATTGTAAAAAGTTGATTGAACACGTAAGATGTTTGTACAAATTAAATATAAATGTGATATAGAATAGATGTAAAAATTTGTGGAGTTAGGATCCAGTTTAAGTAAGTAGAATTCAAATCTGTTGGAATTCAATTTTGGAAAGTGTTTAGTTGAAAGTTTAGAATGCATTAGCAGATCTGATTAAGAGAAGTAAAAAAAAAAAAAAAAAAGGGAAAAGCAACTGGATACTGTAGGTTATCTCCAAAATGTAATTTAAATCTGTTAGAATTCAATTCGTGAAATATTTAGTTAAATGTTGTTTTAGTTACTTTGTTACGAAAACAAAAAAATTATTCACATACAGGATAAAAGGATCTTCTTGTGTAAAAAATAAATACGTAATAAAGTAGATGTAGAGGAAGAATAATACAACGTGAAAATAAATTTTATATTTTTAGATATTTTGAATTTGCACGAATTTACAATTTTTTCTTGCCATATTCAAGCAATTCAATCTTATTTCGTGTATATTTAGATTAACATTTTAGATTACACGTTATATATGATTCTAGGTATAAATATTCCAGACATTTTTACGTTCACTTCTATTCTTTTTTTATTGAATCATTTTTTATTCCTTCTTATCTCACCTTTAAAACGTTCTAATATATGCAAATTTGAAACATATATATTTAATGGATAAAATATACGCATGTAAGTTCTTTAGGAACTTAATTGCTGTTGAATGATCCTTTTGAATATTTCTAAAGTTATTTTAAACGATGTATATTATACATACAGTGTAATTCGTTTCATAGTATATGCTGCAGCATATTTCAACAAATATACAGAAGCAGAATAATCATAAACACACACCACAAAGGGAATACCTAAAGATTCATTCCCATGTAACAGTGTGCAGAACTGGTTACAAGATTATCCATCTTTGTATATTATATTCAATATCTAACATATAATTCTTGATTATACATTCTGCATTGCATTAAATTAACTTCAAACCATTAAAATTTCATTATTAGAATAATAAATATTTGTGTAAAATAGATTTCTATATTTGCCTTTCTCTTTCAATGTGTGTCAAACATATACTGATTTTATACTCAATTATCATAAACAAAATACACTATTTTAAAATGATCAACTTTTATAATACAATACATTATAGTTAATTAAGTATAATTCATTCAATATAAGACAAAAAACAAGATTAAATTATATATTCCATAAAGCTATATTAAATCTCAAATTACAACAACTTATCAACTACTTCATACATTTAATGCATTCAAAATTATCCAATTCGATCCACTTTATTTACCTTAATATTCATTTCTCTTCTCCATACAACAAGATTCGAGAAAGTTAGAAAAACCTTATCCTAAAAAGGGAACCATTTTTCTTCGATGCGTACAATTCGTCGAGGACCAAAAAAAATAAAAAAAAAACAGCATCGAAATTCGAACAAGGGTTTTTTTCCATCCCCTCCCCAAATATCGAAGAATCACTCGACGTTCCACATCGAGCCCGTTTTCCCTCCGTTGTGAAACGTTGTTGAAGAACCCTTTGATTACTTGGCGAGACACGTAGATGCAGATTTGACGAGCGTGGCTTTGACGAGCGAAAGTAAAGAGCCAGCGCGTGCTCTCGACCGATCCGCGTGTACACGAGGCCACTTATACCCTCTGTACGCTTCCAATTCGTACATTGTACACAAAACACGATTCACGACAAATTCGATGAACACGGTTGGCGCGCCATCTACCGAGTTTGCATCGCGAAACGCTAGAATCGACGTGTCTCTTTCTCTCTGACGCAGTTCTTTCACGTGTTTGACGATGTTTGAACGCAGGGCACAATTATGTATGTATGGTGAATTTCTGATGATGTTGATTTAAATCTGAGAATGTAGGGGATGTTGATATATCCTTCTTTGAAATATAAATTATAGAACAGAGAGAAAAATTGAAGTTGTAAGAAATGTTGATTGAGGCTTATTTGTTAAGTTAAGCATGTAATTTAATCGCATTGTGGGCATTTCTTATTGTATGTCACGAATCTTTTTGTAAAAGAGTTTTCTGTATATTCTATGTGTATATTCGAATGTATTAACGTTTGGATGAAACGAGATGATGATGTCTCACATTTTATAATATATATATATATATATATTATATTGATATCTGTGTATTGTTTGATAGGAGCTATGGTATAAAGGTAGGTATTGATTCTGGGCGTGGATAGGACTAATTTTTTTTTTTTTTAATGCATTCAATGCGGGTTTGTGCTAAGCAAACAGGTATACAAGTCTGTTAATTCACATAAGCAGTGTTTCATTGGAAAAGGGAATTGCTCGTTGCTTTATCACCGCAGAAACAATCCATCTGATTTGAAAATGTATTCATGTGATTAGTATAGCAATTTACTGATGCAACGAATGTCCATTAGCGAAACGAAGTTAAATTAATTTACCGTGTAATTTTCAGAAGATTATTCTCAACAATTATCAAATATTTCCTTGAAAATCATCGTTCCTGATTGTTGTGTAACTCTAGAATTTTTCAAATTCCAGAACGAAAGTTTTTTTTGATCTGTTATACAAAATTATTTAATTTATTAGATATTAGATATTAATTAACGTGATTATATAATACAAATGAAAATTAATTAGAAATAATCAGTATATACATTTATATACATATAAGTAATATTAAATTTAATGGGAAGAAGAGAAAGAATTTAATAATTATATTGAAAAAATATAAATAATTTATGATCTATTCAAAGAAAAATAAACAGTAGCTTCGTTATCCATTTCACATTTCAAAACTCTAATCTCCATCCAATTAATTTGCCTCAAAAATACACAAGGATCCATTACCAAGCAGAAGATCATTTCCATGTCAAAAAGATTCAGAAGCTTTCACGAGATTATTTCTTTGTTGTCGATGACAAGAGATTGTATTTAACTGTACAAATACTGCACTAATTAAAATCATAATAATTTTAAAATGACCATTATTTACAAAGTCTCCTCTTCAATATCATATTAATCTCTCTCTCTCTCTCTCTCTCTCTTTAATACAAATATTGAATTTTTCTTAAGGATTATTATTGTAAGATAATAGAAATGCTTATTGATCGTCAATTATTATTTAAATTGAACAGAAATTTTTAAGCTATATTATAATCATTAGTAGTAGGTAATTTAAAAAGCTTATATTTTTTTGTATAACAATTAATTTTTTTTTAATTGAAAAAGATAATAATTTACATATAAACTTCGAAAAACAAAGTAATTAAATACCATATAATGGTAAGTAATAGAAAAATCAGAATTAATAAATACTATTCAATAGAAAGCTACTTCTCTG